CGATAGTTTATTCATGAAACTTTTTTTGTTCATAAGTTTTTTATAAACAATGAGCGACGGCTAAAACTTTTAGAAACGTACTCAGGAAGGTCATATTTACAATATATCAAAACGAGAAGCCGATCGGAGGGGGCTCCCCTATTCTGTACATTTACCGCAATTTCTAAAGGCGGACATTTTACCGTTGCTGTAGTGTCACAATAATGTTACTGTGATATTTTGCAACGTACTTGCAATATTGCAATCGTGCAATGAAATATTTCTGCAATATTCCTGCAATCGTTTTCTGCTGTATGGGAAAGTAAGAGTTATTACAATATTATAAATTATAAAGAAAAAAAATGTAAAACAATATATATTATGCATATAGAAGTTTGAAATCTAGAAGCAATACTTTTTATATTGAAATTGTTACGCACCGACATGCGCGCGCGCGTTGACGTTCGTAAGTTGTGTCTTTCTTCACGTCATACGCACGTAATAGAAACGACTCAATTTTCAAAGAAAAAATAGCAATTTGGGTAATTCTTTAGAAAACAGACTTTCTCACCGATTTCAATGAGCTTGAAATGTGTTGTTAAGGACGTTAATTCTTCTTCTTTAACTATTTGCGTGCAATAATGTATGATGTAAACAAAACTGTTTAGTTGGCAAATTGATTTGGTATCGAAAACGAGGATTTATGTATGTAATCTCTTGCGTTTAATAACGCCAAGTCTAATTGTAAATTTATTCAATATTTAAGACAAACTATTACATTACACAATCTTTTCAACAAGAATTCGCCAAGTAACCCAGATAACCAAAACTGAATGAGCATATTTTCCAAAGTTTGCAATAACACAGTAAGCCAGTACAATGTAGCCAACAGTCAAACATAATCTGTTGTTTCAACTAGTATCAACAGAAAAACAGAAAAAAAAGAATATAAATGTGTCATGCCGTGATGCAGATATATAATTGCATCAATCAAGCAGAACTTGCTCAAAAAAATGTAGCAGATTTGAAGCATAACATGCTATTATTATGTCTATCTTCATTTATTTCTATATTTTCGCTGCGTTGTTTTCTTTACATATCGTGCCTACATAATTCACTCACTATGATGATACAGCTGAGTAGAGTCTGCTGCAAAGTGCTGATTAAACCTGTGTGCATACTGCTGGCATACTGCTATCATTTGGCTATCGGAGTAATGTTGTAAGCGTGTAGGCAGGGTGAGCTGCACCCCTCTCCCTGCTCCCCTTTTGAGGAAAAATGAAAAACGACTTCTGATCACATGTCGCTTCATGTCAATAATATATACGTGGTTTTTAGCGACACTTAATCAGAAGTTGTTTCCTATTTTTCCTCGAGGGGGGAACAGGGGGAGCATCTCCCTCTGCGGAGGGCGCAGCTTTGCTTACACGTGTCATACAAAGAACATATTAACTTGAGAAATCGACACAATGTTGGAAAACTAGTATTCAATTATGAAACTTCTTTTGTTTATAACTCGAAAACCTAAAGCCGAGCGGCGGTAACATGTATAAGGAAAAGTTGTTCAGAATAACGTTCTTATCAACATATTTCAAGCTCATTGAAATCGGTGAAAAAGTCCGCTTTCTAAATAATTACCGCAATTTGGAAATACAAGTAACCCTAATATAACGCAAATATTCCGTTCTACAAAAATGTCGCGTTAAATTAATAGCGTTATACAAGGCTTACATAAGCGCGCATATTAAAACGACAGGATTAGACTTCATTTTACCACACTTTGTAAACCGCGTTATTCAAGTATCTTGTTATAGGAGGATTATCTGTAATCAAAAAAAGTTTTTCTGAAAGTAGTCGGAAAAACTATGATTTTGAATAACAATAATAGAACTATAACTTTCTATTTTATTTTGAACATTAGAACAGCAGAATAAACAAAAATAGGACAACTTTCATATAGACAAAATAGTTTCAAGCTCGTCCCACACAAACAACAAAATGTTACAATTTTGCTTTAACCCAAGAAAAAAGTAATCAAAAATATCCGTTAAGCCGATTATTTCCGCTATGTTTCAGGTAGCAAATGGCGTACACGACGAAAAATATTAACACCGACATTTCATTTTACTATATTAAACCAGTTTATTGACATTTTCATTGAAGAAAGCAATCGCATGGTTACATCTTTAAAAAAAGCTAGAGAACCGGTTGTAAAAGATTTACTATCATTTACAAACAAACATATGCTAAACATAATATGTGGTAATTGTTCTGTTACTGTATTCACTGTTCTTATTTTTATTACAAATACAATAAAATATAGAAAATGTATTCTTTTTAACCAAAACTATGATAAATAAAACATCGATATTCGTTACGCATGCACTCTTAATTGCATTCTTAATTGTAGAATCAGTTATGGGTATCACTTTAGAAAATTCTACCGAATCACAACAATATCGAAATGCTTTTCATGCGATATTTGAAATCATGTTTTACAGGTAAGATATAAATATATGATTTCTTTCAAGTATTTTCATCAACAAATTAAATAGTAATACTGCCAAAAATTGTTAAGGTTTCTAAGGCCCTGGTTGTACAATGAATGGATAATTGCATTGTTACCAATAGGAAGAAAACAAAGAAAACTTGTGAGCATTTTGCACAGCTTCACAGAAAAAGTACGTAAAATACTTTATAACCGTGATCATAGGGTAATACTTTATATACAAACCAAAAACATAGATAAAAAATGAATACTAAGCAGTACTATATTTTATATTTGTTTGCAGATTATTGCAAAAAGGAAACAGTATCACAAACTCACTGATGGTCGATATTTAAAAAATATCGAAAATGATACATCTGCAAAAGTAGATGATACAGAAATCATTGGAAGTATGTAACATTATAAAATGGTAGATCATATGCGATCATGTAATCGTAATTCAGACAGTAAAACATAGTGTTTTATTACTTGAAGTACATAGATAAAAAACAGTTCTATAACAAAGTGTTTCATATAAAATTCAATCACTCTGTTCTAATAAAATTAATATTTATTCTCTTTAGACAAAACTAGTTTAACAGAATATTTAAACAGAAACCTTAGTATATTTGGAATTTTTTTAACAGAAAACTTAATATCCATTGGATTTTTTTAGTCAAAAAAAAACGGCTCGCTATGTTGGATTGTTTGATATCCATGTCACAAGAAAATAATTTAACCGATTCAGACGTTAGGGAGGAAGTCGATATCTTTACAGCTGCGGTAAAAATTTCTAATGTTTCTTAAAATTGTTATGTATATATTATTTGATTTTAGTGCTATGTATTATTGCTATATATATGTGGACAAATATCACATACTAAGTTATAATTACAGGGACATGATACTACATCAATAACGGCAATGTTTGCTTTAATGTTGTTAGCCGAACATAAGGATATTCAGGTATCTGTCATTTACCATTTTGCAGATACTTTGTATATATATATTCTTATTACTTACCATTTCTTATACAGGATCGCGTTAGATTAGAAGTTAATACTATCTTCAAAGAAAATAACGATAAATTTACCATGTCGTCGCTGCAAAATCTATCTTATTTAGAAAGATGTATTAAGGAAACACTGCGTTTATATCCAAGTGCGGCTATAATAGCGAGAGTGACAACGGAAGATGTAAAATTACGTGCGTATACCAAATAACTATATAAAATAAATTTTTGGACATTTCCTTATGTAATGAATATATCCTAATAATAATATATCTCGAAAGCTTATATACAATTACTTCCACTTTAGTAGGATATTGAATAGTACATACACGTTTTTATGCATGTCTTATTCGAGAAAATTCTTTAGAAGATTGTATGATACATCAATAACAGTTAACATATGAAGACCACAGGGGAAGAACTTGAAAAGTCAATTTTTTTAGATTTTCTGTTTTTAATGTTATTTGATAGTTAAAATGAAATTTTTTAATTATCCAAAGCTAGAAAGAGAAATTTGTGATAGATTTCAAGATATAAACAGTTTTATAAAATGTAACAGAAATACACACACATACGTTTCAAACTTTAAAATCACTTTCCTCTAAAATTACCAAAATGTGACTTATCAAATTCTTCCCCCGTGATCTTTATATGAAATTGACATATTCATGTCGCGTTATATGTGACAAAGTAGTAAGTATTGATCTCTGACAAAAATTTGATGTAATAAAATAGATACAATTGTGATATATATGTATGTACAGGGTGTCCGTAAAGTTTTGACAAAGCCGAAATATAGAGATAGATTGAGTCAAACTGAATAGAAAAGTTATTTGCCATTTTGCAAACTTCGCAATAGTTAACGACACAAAGTAATAAATGTGTGCCAATGAGCGCGTGAGAAGCGATGGTCCCGACCACTGAACTATAATATGAAACGCGCCTTGCTATTGTGCGAGCTGTCCGCGATAGAGAGCATCACAACTAGGATATCTGTCTTTGTTTCGTCGTCGCTGATTGGTTGAAATTTATACGAATACAGTCCAAGACAAAAAATCGACGAAAAGTAAGGAATGACTGCGTTCAATCATTCAGTCACTCAGCAATTGCTGAGAGCTGATTTCTACTGAACGCAAGGCGCGTTTCATATTATAGTTCAGTGGTCGGGACCATCGCTTCTCACGCGCTCATTGGCACACATTTATTACTTTGTATCTCATTAACTATTGCGACTTTTGCAAAATGGCAAATAACTTTTCTATTCAGTTTGACTCAATCGATCTCCATACTTCGGCTGTATCAAAATTTTACGGACTTCCTGTATAACTGATTTAAATATACAGGGTGTCCCGTAATTGCCGTCCCAGCAAACACAAAGTAACAGTAACGTAACATTAATGTTATAATTTCCCACTCAACGATGAAACTGCAATGTAACATGCCTTGTACATAGCAGTTACATTGTTGAGTGGGAAATTATAACATTAATGTTACGTAACTGTTACTTTGTGTTTGCTGGGGTCTGACCGCTCGTAGGCAAGTAGAAGGGGTTATTCTAAAACGAAAAATCCTATATCACTTTGGAAGATCCGCAATAATTAACGAGAACGAATGAATTAATAAAAATCCGCTAATTAGCGTGCATCCAGCGTAAGGAGAGCGTAAGAACATCTTAGTCTTTCGCGCGGACGCGCCGTTGCGGTGGAATGGGAGGAACTAATAGAATAGTATGTAAATTTATACATAAACAGCATATAAATTGCATTCGGAGATCGCGCTATCTATTAATTCATATCTCGTTATGTATTGCGAATCTTCCAAAGTGGTATAGGACTTTTTGTCTTAAAATAACTTCTTTTTGCCTACAAGCGGTGAGACGGCAATTATGGAACACCCTGTATATAACTGATTAAAAAATGTACATTTGTGTGTACACACACACACACACACAAGTGTATATTTTTAAATAAGTTTTTCACACTGTAACCAATTTGGTACATTTTGTAGTGTATCATATTGTATATTTGTTTATAGAATCATACATAGTACCTGGTGGAACAAATATATGTATTCATATCTACGCCGTGCACAGAGATCCTAAATTGTGGCCCAATCCAGAGATATTTGATCCAGATCGATTTTTACAGGAAAGAAGCAAAAATCGCCATCCCTATTCTTATTTACCGTTCAGTGCAGGACCTCGAAATTGCATAGGTAAGAATGCTTATTATTAAAATTTAGTCTGTCAAAAACTATACTAAAAGTAAAAGAAACACATCAATATCTTTAAATAACGTAATATCATATTTATCGCTTAGCAACTTTCTTTTACTTGTAAATATTCTTGTTTTTTTTGTAACATATATTTTCTTAATTATGAATTGCAGGTCAACGATACGCTTTGTTAGAATTAAAAGTTATACTTGCTTTGTTGATACACAACTTTTATTTAGAGCCTGTCGACTATTTAAAAGATGTAAAACTACGNTATACCGCACTGATTNAGCCTACTAAGCCAGTTTCTATAAGATTTGTTCCAATTGAATCGTTATAATTAATCCACTGACAAAAATAAATAAAATCTAATTTTGTCTAAGTACACAAGCAAAACAATCTCATACAGCACAGAACTTTCCGGTTATGTTGCTACAATGTTACGTCATTGCAAATTGCAATGTAATGTAACAGCAATATTATAAAATCATTGGAATTGCAATAAAACAATAACAATATTGCGGCAATGTTTCAAAAACGTTATCAAAAATATAATATCATAATTTTAAACTAAATGAGACAAAAAAGATAATTTTACTACACTTATAAAAAATCAGAATGAAGAATATGTATTTATATGTTATAAAAACATATATATATTCTTCATGTATTTATATATTATAAAAACAGTAATTATATCTTTGCAATTCATGGATGTATATTAATATAAATGTCCGACATTTACTTTAACATCTCTTGTAAGCAAATAGAAGGAGTAAATCTGAATCGACGAGTTCTATACCATTTTGCTAGATTTGTAATAGTTACCGAGATCTTAATTACCAAAGAACCGCGAATATAAGCATGCATCGGAGTATCTTATGCATGGAAGACAGCTTGGCGCACTTTGCGCGGTAACTTTTTATTATGTATATGTTTTAATATAGGCTGTTGTTTTACCTTCTTCCTTATGTTGTTACGGGTAACACCGTGAGCGCGCGAAACGCTGTCTTACGCGCGTAAAATGCTCAATGCATGCTTATTCACTGATCTTTGTTAATTAAGATTCCGGTAACTATTGCGAATCTTGCAACATAATACTGGATTTTCAACAGTTTTACTCCTTCTAGCTGCCTACGAAAAATGTTAAAATAATTGTCGGACATTCTGTATATATTAGAGATACACAGTTTGTCCGGAAAGTTCCCGGACTACGTGAATTAAAAATCGAAAATGAAAGATATGGTTTATTAAACAAGTTTACACTTCAAG